AAGTTATTTAAAAAAAAAACAAATCATTCATGAGTTCAGGAAGTAATGTTTTGCAACAAACCTGTTATTTATATACTTTTTCAATATAATATAAAAAAAATATTTTTGAAAAATGTTCTAAATAAATAGGATATATAACTAAATTATTTTATGAATTTCGTACAAATTCTCGCTAAATTTACATGAACTTTTAACCTATTTTGATATAATTTTCCGTAGATTTCAATTTAAGGATGAATATTTGTATGCCGATTCTGCATACACTATTACTGTATTTTTCTATACGATTTTAAAATGAAATTTAAAGAGAGAATCTCATTATATTCTCTATTTTGGATTCTGAAATATTCAATTTTAATTAATTTTGTATAATTAATAACAAATGATAGATCATCAATGTTAATTAATTTGTGTCAGTAAAATATTCAATGTCATTGAAAATGTTATGATAATATATTATTTAATATATTTATGAGGTATTCAAAACTCACATTAATTTTATTTCATGAAATGTGTGATCATGAGTTTAAATTAATTTACAGAATTTACGTTGGATAAAGTTAATCCTCTCCTCTCCTATCTTCACTCCTCTTTCTTTCTTTCGTGTTTCCTCTTCTCGTTCTTTTATTCTCTCTCACTTTCTCTGTTTCTTTTCTTTCTTTTTTTCCACATCTTCTATCTTATTTCACTCTTTCTTATTTTCTTTCTGTCTCCCGTTCTCTTTTTCTTCGATTCTTCATTCTTCATCTAATAACTTTGTTTATTTGTCTGTCTCCTTTCAGTCTGTATTTATTTGTCTCTATATGTCTTTTTATCTTAGTCCTTCATAAAGATAGAAAAATAGAGAGGTAGAGAAACGAAAAAAAAAGCACTGATATAGAGACTGAAACAGTAAGATGGAAACAAGAAACAGATAGAGACAAAGAAAGAAAGACATAAGAGAGAGATAAAGACAAAGAAAAAAGACGAGAGAGAATAGAGACAAAGAAAGAAATACACAAAAGAGAATAGAGACAAACATAAAGGGATTGGTAGATACAGATACAAAGAGAGTGAGAATGAAGATCGAGCTTGTCTGTCTGTCTGTTTTCCTTTCTGTTTCCATCTAACTGTGTGTATCTTTATCTGTTTTCCCTGTTTCTCTGTCTGTATCCATCTCTATCTCTGTTTCTCTGTCTTTCTTTCCTTTATTTTTCGGTTACATCAATATACAAACTACAAAATAAGGAAATAATTTTCTCATCACTCTCTTACAAAATTTAGTTCTAAACGATTACATTTATTTATTTGTATATATATATATATATTTATTCAGAAAATTATATAATTTTTCTTAAAAGATTTTATTAAAAATCGAAAATAGGAAGTACATAAAATTACATAGAAACAAAACTTTGTAAATTAATTTAAAACATTTTATTTGTGTTTTTATTTTATTTTATAAACATATTTTTCAAATTAATTAATTTTATTTTTATATATCCAGCATCTTAAATTTAATTAAATTTTATGATTTATACAGAAGGAAAATTGTTAAAATAAGAATAATAATTTTTTTTTATACATTTAAGAATTATCTTAATAATTCTTAAATGTATAAAATATTAAAAAAATTAAAAAATATTTTTTGAAGAATATATTTATATATCATCATAAATATCATATTAATTATTACGGAATTTTTTTGTTACATTCTTAATTTAATAGAAAAAAAAATATATCGTACGAGATTTCATTTATTTAATTAACATTTAAATATTAATTTAAAATAAATTTTAATATCTGTATTAAATAAATAAAAAATAAAGTCGTACAGTACATTTTTTAGCTATAACTAATTAATGCATTGAAAGATATTATAAAAACAGTAAAACCTGCGTAAACCGAAATTACAAAGTACCGAACACTTTTTCTGGTTTGGCAGGTTTCTGTTTTGAACAGGTTTTTTTTTTTTAAACACAGAAAATCGTTTCATTTTGAAGAATTCTTCCCGTTTAGGTAAGTTTCCGTTTTATACAGGTTTCGTTGTGGACAGGTTTTTACTTTTTATATCTTTAACGTAAGCTATCTTATGCATCTATATACAGTAGACAATGGCCTGACAATAGTTGAAGTTTTAGTAGTGGTTAATTATCTTCTACGCTCCTATTTTCTAACTTTGATAAACAGCCCATTGACGTATTCAACCAATGTAAATTTTTTCGGTTCTTGTTTTCTACAACAATAGATTTGACTTCACCTTCAAAAAGTCAAAGTCACCTCCTGGAATATATAGCCGTCTAATTCAAAACTAAACTTGTGGATTTCAAAACCCATCTGAAGCTCTTCAAATCTCTCCTTAACTCTTTTCTTTACACCTCATCCATCTAGAGTTTTCTCTCCATCGACTACCTTGAAATCCTTCAAGATATCTTCATCAGACTTCTCATTAAATTGGAGAGATCCATTTCTGTTCAGTTCTCAGGTTAGAATTTCATGTTCACCATTTATCTGCCATTCTTGTCCAGAACATGCATAAATTTGCCACCGTTTAATTCTTCATCCTTTCTCTTAAATCATACACGATGCATACATCTATTAAATCCACTCACTATCATAGCCATTCCTCTCACCAAGCTAGAACAATAATAAGAAGTTTGGCACTCTTCTTTTAAGGTTCCTTAATTTAACCATACTTAATGACGTAATTACATAAGGTTAAAGGAACTTATTTTAAGCAAAGAGAAAGAATAAATTTACGTAAATATAATGTACACAATTCGTTAATTTTAATTAAAAGTTTAAAAGTGTAAAATTCTCGATCGTGTAAAGGAAAAATGGCGACTGACCCGAAGTGTGGCGAAAAGAACGTAGTATTTAGTATATGTCGCATTGCGATTTGTCTAAAATACGAACCTTACACTACTTTTTTTATAAAGGGTGCTCTTTATAATTTTTGCTTTTAATGTAGTCCTTCTAACTTGTGATGTCACAAGGTAAGGTAAAGGGCAAACTCTATTCTCTCCTATTGTCGTGGGTATTCAACTAAAACATTCTTTGAAAACTCTTATTCATACACCACTCTATATCCTAACTGCCTGCTCCATCTTGACAACCTTCAGAAATCCTCTGACTTCAACAGGCTCTCCCACGCATCATACCACCCCTGGTATCAATCGATCATTTATCCTATTTCTCTCCAGACTTATCTTCTCCTCAACTATTCTCACCTCTCACTCATCATCCAAATCAGGTTCAACAAATAACTGGTAAAATAAATCCTACTTCCTCAACTGTTACGTCATGTCTAAGCTCTGTAACAACCCTACTCTAGAGACCAACCACATCTTTTACTTAAGATCATGCTCTATTATAACTACATTAACGTTTACTCTTTTACTTTCTTCCATTATAGGCAACATGCTCATATCTTTCACACCTTATTCCCCACACCCCACACACGTGTTTAGTACCTTTAAATATATATATATATATATTCTCAAAACGTATTTTTTACAAATATTTATGTAATATTATATGTTGTCTGAATTAAAAAAAAAATATACAAGTTAAATAAACAACATACAATGACACATATACATTACTATGAAAATTGAAAATGTTTTTGAAAAATTTATTCTATAATCTTTCCATATGAAGTTGTATTGTTGGATATTTTAATATAAAATATTTATCTTTCTAAAATATATACAGAAATCTGATGATATTCTAACAACTTCAAACGTCAAAGAAATATTTCATAACAATACGAATGTGAATATCACTTTTATAATAATACAATTTTATAAATAAATTTTACATAAGAATATAAAATATACAGATTTTTGGAAGAGAATTTGTAATTATTTTCTAAAATATCCAAATAATTTTTTTTCTGTTTGAATAATTTAAACTTTTTATAGTTGAATATAATTTTGTTTTACCGCCCACTTTGAAGCTTAATAACTCCTGTACCTTTTGTCGGAAATTTCTGAAATTTTGCAAGGAGATTTGCGTGTTAAGAAGATTGATGCTGTTAAATTTTGGTGGGTGAAGATCAAGGAGATGCGGAGATAGGGGGAGTCATGTGTCATGGGGTAGGACTTAATGACGATTTTACTCGTTATTGACATTTACAACTTTTTACAAAACTCATCTCTATCCTCAAAATTAAGTCTTTTATCATTTTAAAATAATTAATAACATTCTAAAATATTAAAAATAAAATCCCATAACAGATGGCGCCACACGCAATTTTAACTTTTGCGGAAAAGTTACGCAACTCGCTGCTAGATTTTTTAAAAATATTTTATAAGGTAAATTGTTGTTTTCGGTATCATAATAAGGGTTAAATGTTTAATTTTATTTTTAAAAAATTCTAAAAAATTTTGATCACAATTTACGTATGTAATACAGAAATTCTATAAAATATATTCTTGGAATTTTATTAAGCATAGTTCGAATTTAACTGTAAGCAATAAGTTCTGGGAAAGTATGTCACTAGTTTAATATCTTCGCTATCAATTTTCAGAAAAATCTGTGTTTAATATACATTCTGGAAGCTCTAAAAATGTGAAATAAATCAATATGTACATTATAAAATATATATAAAGTATAGAATTTTTAATATATATTTTAAAATTCTATTGATGCTGGCTTAGTTAATTAAATACTTGACTTAGTATAATTCAAATATAATTGCATTTTGAAGATTTTAAAAATAAACACAATTTTATATTCAAATTTATCATTATAGACTATTATAGACTTTTCTATTAATTAAGAAAATTGATTAAAATTGCTTATACATTATTTTGAGCCATAGTAATTGCCGAGTTTATTGTTAATAACATCACTAAATCCGGTTTACAATAACATCATCACGTTAATTGAACCAATGGAATTAGCCTATAGAGAATTTGAATAACGTATAAATTTTTGTACAAAGTTCTCACAAATTGCATGCGATGGTTGCTTACCATTTAATTAATTAATTAATTTATTATTATCTTTTTTTAGTGTGCCTCCAGATGAGTAGAGGGATCTTCACTCTCGTCGCTCCAGCGGCTGGACCGTCCTACGATACTTTGGCATCCTACAGTAATACATTCCAAATGCCATTCCTGAGTCCAGCATTTCCTGAAACAAGCTCCGAACGACCGTCCACTTATGGTATCAGCCTCAAACCTCAATACCTCGAAGCCATCTTGGATGTTATTAAGCATTATCAGTGGAAGCATATTATATATCTGTATGATTCTGAAAATGGTATGTGTGTTTTTTAATACTTTATATGGGTCTAAAGTTTGAATTTTTTATCTAAATTTGAACCAAATAATTTCAAGTCAATAGATTTAATTCGAATTTTCGAGCTTTATAATAGATGTAACTGGAAATACAAGGTCACAATGAACGGTAACTCTTCATAACTCTAGATAAATTTTATGCAAATATATCATAAGATTCTTAACACATAATTAATGGCATCAGTCAGAAATCTGTAAGGAAGAGAAATCTTTGAATGTCATTTGACTTAACACACAGAAGATGAGTTATATCGATCCATCATATCAACAGTTTCATTAAATTTTATTAAACAATTAGCGAGTTTCGTAATTTACTATTCCGATAAGTTTATATATATATATTAATAATAATAGAGAAGTATAATTTAATACTTTTGAATAATATTTAAAAAATAAACAAGTGAAATCTCAGTTTAAATATCTTATATACATATTTAATTGTATTAATTTATATACAATATTCAAGTCGATCGAGTATTAATTAAAGTGGATGAAGGGCATCTGTCTGATTGCTTTTGAAGAGACTGTTTGATGATGAACAACATAGAATATCATAATTCATTCACTTTATGCACTAATGATAATACGCAGAAAATGACCAAAACTCTTATGTAATTAATCTAAAATGGTTTCATAGTAGTACTTAATGATTCTTCTACATCTTAATGAGAAATATATAAAAAATTTTAATTCTTTATTTATTTATTAACAATTACTTTATGACTTAATTTATAAAATTATTTCTAAATTATCATTCATCAATAGCATCATCCTGTTGTATTCAACAGGATGATGGTATTTATATAGTTAATTGTTATACAGCTTTAATGAGATTCGGGGTTTTTAAAATTAATAAAAAAATGTAACAAATTTATTTACTTATTAATGATTATTCGATAATTTAATTTATAAATGAAATATTTATAAATTATCATCCGGTTGAATAGTATGCTGTGGCAAATGTCGCATAATAAACTTAAGCGTGTTTAAACGCGAAATAATAAATAGTTAAAACAGATTTTATAGAATAAATAATTGAAGATAATCTAACGTGAAACTGCAATTTTAAAACAATTTTTCTTACTCCTTTATTTTCTATTATTTCTAAAAAGTTTAGAAATCTAAGAAGACATCTAAACTTAAATTACTTCCAAGAAAAGGTTAATTTTTAATAGGAAAAAAAAATAACCTCTTATCTTACCTGTGTTGTTAGAAAATAGAATCGTAAAGTGCCCTGTGAGATTTTCTAACAGAAAATATCATTAGATTGTGGATCGTATAACCGAAAAATAAAAAAATAAAATAAAATAAAAACAATTTTGAAGTTCAAAACTGAACAAAATCTATATATAAAGTTCAATTGTTTTTCTTTTATTCTCTGAGAAATAAATTTATATTTTTGTAAACAGAAAATAAACACAAAACCATATTGATTTTAACTTAACCAATATTGTCCAATTAGGTATCGTGTTACGTATGTGTTTTTTTTTCTAACTGTTTTCCTATTGTTTTCATTCATTTTACTTTCTTTTTTTTCGAAAATTCAACCAAAATAACTAAAAATATATTAAAAAATGATTTATTAATTACAAATAAATGCAGTGTCGTCTGTCTGTTCTTTCTTAATCTCAAGAAACATGCTAGATAGATGAACGACGAGACCAGATATGGAAATTTTAGGGGCAGAAAGCCCGATTAACTATATAATAACTTTTAATTTTGGCCGAAAGTTATGTTATTTCAATTCAAAAATGTTTCTTCAGAAAGACGTTAGAGACATGGCCGACATGACTTCGTTGATAACAGGAAAAGTATGACGTACAGGGGTAAGACACTACTAAACTTACGTGTATTGTGACGAAAATATGTAGCCCAACATTGTGACGACGTCACAATAAATAATTGTTAATTTATCTGTTTTATTTCTACTAATTATAAATGACAGTATAAAAATATTTTTCCTAAACTTATATTAACGATATCGTGATAAAATAATAATGTTATGCTGTACACTGATCATCTATTTTATAATAGATTTAAATAAAGTTACAGTTTTACGTAAAACGAAAAAGTCTAGCAACGAGTTGCATAACTTTCCCGGCAAAAAAAGATGAAATTGTGTATGGCGCCATCTGTTATGAGATTTTATTTTAAAACGTTTATAAATGATTAATTATTATAAAATGACAAAACGCTTAACTTCTTAGAGATTAATTTTATTTTAAAAAAATTGTAAATGCTAATAACGAGTAAATTCTTAAGTCAGACCTCCCTTGAGAGATCACATAAACCCCTGTATCTCTTCACTCCCTCGACTCTCATGTACCAAAATTTAATGAAATCAATCTCTCTAATATCTAAACCACCCTGCAAAATTTCAGAAATTTTAGGCAATAGGCACAGGAGTTATCAAGCATTAAATCAGGTGTACAATATTGTGCCATACAACTACCCATTTACCCACGCCCACACATAAACTAATATCCATACAAACACAAAAAAATCCCAGAATTTTTTTTTGCATTTCTCGACGTTTCGAGGTTTCCTGAAGCCAAAAATAAACAAAAATATTAATTCTTTATTTTACATTTATTTATTAATTAATGTAAATTTTTCAATAATAAATAATTGTATTTAATATTTTTCCCAAAGCTAAATAAACAGAATAATGATTTTAGAAATGATAATAAATTACTTGCTTATTATATACTTTAAATTATTTTAATTTCATTTCCATGATTAAATATTTACATGTAATTATAAAAATATGTAAATATTTAATTCTGAATAATAAATCATTAAATTAATTTTATAGAAAATTTAAACAGAAAATTTAAAAAATAATAATTATTTTATTTTTAAAACGTTTTCTTTTTTATTCTAATTTTTTTTAAAAAATTAGTTCAATTAAATTTAATTAAATAATTATAATATTTTCATAAATATATTTATTATTATTTATTTATTCAATTAGACAAATAAAGTCAAACCTGTAAACAATGGCCATTGACGGAAACATAAAAAAATGGCCGTTGTTTTGTGGTGTCCGTTATTGGAGGTTCTAAAGTAAATATTTTATATAATTTAAATTATATAAAATAAAACCTGTCTAAAGTGGAACGGAAGCCTGCTTAAACGGAAAAAATTCTTTGAAACGGAGCAATTTTCTGTGATAAAAAAAACCTGTTTAAAACGGAAACCTGCAAAACCGGAAAAAGTATTCGGTACCTAGAAATTCCGGCTTATGCAGGTTTTACTTTTAATGATTTTTTTAATGAAATAAAGGATCTAACACATCAAATGTTAATTTATTTAATAAAGATAATGATGAGGAAAATCGTGATTAGAAAGTAAATGACAATATTCCTTTAATGTTAAGTCATTTCAAAGTGAATAATTTGATGAAAGTATCAATTTGAAAATGTCTTTGTTCTTAAAAACTTTAACTAAGCTATAACTTACGAAATTACAATTAACAAATAGTGATTTCAGTTGTAAAATTTTACAAATTTAAGCTTACAAGTACTCTCTTAATTAGTTTCCTCTGTCATTTTATATTACTAAAAAAAATTATTTAATTTTTTTACAAAATTTATTATATAATTAATTAACTTTGAATATGTTTAACAACGCTAATTAAGTAAAGTGAACCGTCTTTTTGCCGTTAAATTATATTTAAGTATAAATTAATTATAGTTAAAAATGTTTAAAAATAATTTTTATGTTGTCGAAAAAAAAACTTTTTAGAAGTTGGTTAATTAGCAATAAAAAATTAGAAAATAATTATACAATTATAAATCGAGTATGGCGATAAATTGAAACACGGCCGAACCTCACTACAATGATCTCCTGAATAGTAAAGTATCAATCAATACTCATGGATAGATTAAATAAAGAACTCTTCAATATTTGGAGGTTACTAAATACACAATTATCAGGTAGTGTCACCACTAAATCACGTCACTTTCAAACTTATGTTTACATTCATTATTATACAGTATATGTAATCCATACTGTTTGAGGTACTTCAATTTAATACCACAATTGATGTAGTGTCAACTTTACAGACGAATAAATGGGGTGCTAAATCGAAATTTGACTATATTTCAAACAATTAGAATTGTATACATATTCATGTTCAAAAATAAGAATAATTTAATCTTTAACTCAGAATAGTGTGAAACTTATATACAACTAAAATATTCTATATCCATTAAAACAAATGAAAATCAAAAATTTTATCTGAATTACGTCACACGAAGAACAAGAAAGTTCTAAGCATTGTCGTAAATCTTTTTATACAGCAAAATGATTAATATGGCGGGTGGTTGCCTCCTGCACGCACATACACTGCACAGCAATTTCTCATGCTGATTATAACGTTGTTTATCAACTATGTCGGGAGCAAAGTCCATTCTTAAAGAGGAACATATTGTAAAGCTCCTGGAATATTTTTGGTGAAAACTGATGGGATGTAACATAGCAATTTTATGTTATCATCACCTCGCGTTTTTAGTTATGTTCCTACTAACCAATACCGTAAAACTAACCTTAAATTATATTTTTTTTGTGTAATCTTAACAGCACTGAAGAGGGGTTGGGAATTTAAGCCAACCCGAAATGCATATGAATTAGGAATTTTTTAAATAAAACGTACGTTCTCTAACCAATTGCTGTCCGTTCGTCTACCAACTCGTTTTGGATTACACAGACGCTACACACTGCATGGGATGTAACATATTTTCTTAGAGCATCTTACACATGTTTTTTTGGTTTTATTAGCGGTGCCCACAGGCTATACAAAAAGGGACATCATACATTATGCAAGAAGCTTCAAACTATGATTCAACGTCAGATCAACGGCTTCCACAAGGTAACTTTGGCTGCAATTGATGCTAACTTAGCCTTGAAAACAAGAAACATTCTATGTTTTCAAGGCCAAATTTAGTCAGCACACGACGA